TCTGAATCTCTTGATAAGGGAACATCTCCTCACTGAAAGGAGATGTTGCTGTGATTATTGAGCACAGGTATCAGTCTTGTCCTGCCATCCCACTCAAATAAAGCATCAGTAGTTGGTCTGTTAAAATCTACTCTCGCAATTCTCTATGAGCGGAACTCTCCAGGGTGAAATAATATCACTACTAGGAGACCACCTCTATATGCCCTTCTCCATTTTTGGGGAAGACTGCCCACAATCATAGAGAGGTATTTTATCCTGCCTGTAAAATGACATCTTGTAATAGTCTCTTATATGATGTAATTATACCTTAGTTCATGTTCCATAAAATGATGAAATTCAAACTACTGCTGGAAAACACCTTTCTCTGATATTATAACTGAAATGCTTCCTAATAATACTGAGCTATAGATCATGGTTGAGTTAAAAAGAAGTAGTGAAATGGAAGGAAGTGGAGAAAGTTTCTGGAATGGTGTAACTGGAGATATGAGTTGCCTTAAAGCTCTAGAGTGGGTCTGTGGAGACTCCTGCTGCCTTTGCAGGAGTGCAGAATGCCCTGTTGAGGGTCTAGCCCTGATATTGCTGTAGCTGTGCTTATGATCTGCTCCAGCACTGGAGATGTTTGTCTTTTATGTACATATTTATAATGAACTAAAAAATTATATTAAATGAGCCATTTACCAAGGATCTCAACAGCTGTGTCCCGAGGAGAAAGTAAAGTCTAAAATTTTCTTGTGTTGGGCTCTCTATCAACTTTGTAACTAGGCAGCTGTTCCAGCTGATTGATGGAAGATAGAGGGATCATCTGGTAATTACTCCTCCTGCTGGAGGCTGAGCAGGTGTTTTACAGCTCTTCCCCTCTGCAACTGAAGGAAAACTCTTTCAGTCTAGTCCGAAGGCCAGAGAGCACTTGTTTTCTGCTGTGTAATTCATATGTCAGGGTGTTTCAGTATTTATGGAATAAAAATAAAACAGTGCTCAAGTTGAAAATATCCACCAAAAAAGCAGAAATCACAGTTTAGTCTCACTGATGGTACAAGATCCTCTGGAATTATAGTAACACTAATCTGTGCTCAGTAAAACCCAAGGGTGCCTTTACTTGACCAGTAAGCAATTGATAACCTTGCTTGGAGAGCAAATTATTTACACGAATGAAACTGATATGCTTGAAATGCAAAATCATAGTGTAAAATAGTATTTAAAATAGCACCATGATTCTAATTAGGGAGTGAGGATTGGTGATACTCCCTTGGGAAATGCAAGTAGTCATGGAGTGCCCTATGACTCTGCTAAACAAGAGAGCTTAGTAGTCAAATTCTGGATGAAAAGGAGAGAGGAATTCATCACTCTCTGGCAAGAAGTCCTAATTCATAAGAAAGCTGCATAATTAATGCTAGATATTTTAAAGCCATGATTTGCAATTTCTATGTAATCTTTGGAAAAGGAAAAATGTACCCTGGCAATATTCCTGAGGAGGTAGGGAGGGCACCCACTGAGACTTATGTATATTAAGTCAGAAATTAGAGCCAGGGATCTGAAAGATCCCTGATGTACGGAAAGGTTATGGCTTGTCCTTCACTGGAAATTATGTGAGCTTATTTGAGAATAAGCAGAGACACACAGAATCTGCTAAGGAATTGAAAGTTAACTTACAATCCTAAATGTAGCAACTGCTGAGAAGCAAATTAAACACTTTGATTTTGCTTATTTTTGGGTTTAAAAGAATGTTTCCCAACCACATATTTCACAGTTGAGAGTGACATTCATGCCAGTTCTCCAAAGATACATTACCAGAAGAGGAGCTCCAGATGTGGCTGTTGTTCTAATCAGAGTTAACTGACAACTTATAAAAGCCATCATCTTAAGGAAACACCTACATATTACAAAGCTTGGCTCTCTCAAGAAGAGAGCCCCAGGAAGTAGTTCAAGGCTTCTCACTCTACTAGAAATAAAATCAGCAGAGGAAGTGAAAGAAATATAATTAGAGAACCGAGTCTTGAACCAGACAAACCCTTTTGTCCTGTATGCAAAGTCTACTGGGAAACTGCAAAGTTGTTTAAACTAAAAATTCAGTACCATCTAAGATATAAAATAAAACTGGAATCTGTAGTTCAGGTTTTCATAGGCACTTAATGGATTTAGACCTTTATGTCTTACATTTCAACAAATAAAATGAGTACTGCCAACTCTTGTGCTTTGATTATTAGACTCTCACTATTTGGTGTCTCCTGGGAGACAAGAAAACATGTAAGAAGATAAACTTTCATCTAAATTTATGGTTACGTATATATGTACTTCTATTTAAATATGTGACCCTCTTGGCTGTGAAGAAAACCTTGGAAAGGGAAATCTGAATCCATAATTAGGTAGACAGAGAACATTTGGTGAAAGAACTGTCAGTACTGAATCATTTTTCACATTGCTTTTATTGTATGCCTTCCTTGCTGTCTTAGTAAACAAAATTAATCTGCTCTGAGCTCTGTCCTGCCAATGTCTAGACGATTACTGGTAGCTACATTTCCTACTTTTGACAATACCTTGTTATTGTTTATCTTATCTTTAAAGAGGTATCTATACCTCTTTATCTTCTGGTGTGGTCTCTTCTGTGACTTCAATGGAGGCACCTGTTGTTCCTCACCGGCAGTTGTCTCTCTAGTGGTTACAATGTGGTACTATCTTGCCTCCCAGAAACCAGGGAGCTCTCAGAAGTTTTAATGCAGGGTTCATCTTCCAGTAAAATCGTTGAGTGCTCAAATACTTTCATGTACAGGAAGAAATTGTTCTCTTTCTGACCTTTTCTTTCAGATTGCTTTTTCATGACTCAGACCTTCTCTATTTTGTGCAAATGAAAACTTATAGTCAAAAGTTTTACTTACCAAATCCCCCAAAACCAAAGAAAAACAAATAAAACCAAACAAAACATCCCAAGATTTTTTATGATAGGACCCAGGTAAAACAATTCAGATGTGTCTCAGCTTTCAGCGAGCTTGATGTAATAGCTTAAAGTATGGACAGTTTATTTTCAGTAAAGTTTGTTTTATTCTCTAAAAAGTATTCTGTGCATTGTGTGACCCCCCCTTGAGTATGAGAAGTTGAATGCATTGCTCTGATATAACAAATCTGGCTAAGTATCACAAACACAATTATAACTAATAGCTGACCTGACAGTCAAGACCAACACTAGTCTGACCAGCAAAACCTCAGAATATTCACTTCCTGACAGGACCCATTGATGTCTAAATAAATGTGATGCTGTGACCTGATCAGATGATGCTAAAGCATCTTAAATTCATATATCCTGGTAAGTCCTCCCAGGAAGTGACTAAAAGGGAAAAAGTTCTAAGTAAGCAGGAAAAGGAGAACTCTTCCCTAGATAATGTGTTGCTTTTGTTTTTTTTTTAATGCAATGCTACTTGGATCATGAATAGATTAAAATGAGTCCTTCAAAACCACTCTCCTGCTTTCCATCTAAGAATGCAAGTTGAAGTCATGAAAGGTGCTTACGTGCAGGAGAATACTTAGCTTGAAGTCAGCATCAGCAGTGCTGCTGGTCAACTGCTCTACTGACTTGCAGGAAAATGGTTCTGGCCAGAGGCCTTATCCCAAACTTTGTGCAAGAGACAACATGAAGCAGTTTCTAGGGACTATTGATTCTGTTACTGGTAGTGAGTTGAGTGATTTACTATTAAATGCCAGGAAAACTTGATTGAGAAGCTTACTCATCTGAAAATGAGTCAGGGAAATTCCTGTGGTGCGTACTAAGAGTGCAAACTGGGGATTCCTACGGCAAAGAGCTCTCATGGCATATATTTTGATATTACATTTATTGCCATTGCCGACCGTGGGATGAGAGTAAAAGGAACATTAAGGTTGCTTAATTAGAATTTATGAATAGATGACTAATGTCACGCAACCGTGTTCTCATTAATTCCTTGGTTAAAACTGTTTCTTTCGGTGGAAATTACCAAGGATGAGTCACAATCAGCGCAGCAGAAATAAACTAAGGAGCAAATACCCATCGCTGCGATGGCGTTTTGCTTACAGGAGGAGAGGTGGTGAGATGTTTCTGTGTAGCCGCTGTCGGCGGGCATCAGCCCTCTCTGCCGGGGCGTGCCCGCCTATTGCCTGAACTTTGAAGTTTTCCGGATGCGAAGAGCACAGAGCAGAGAGCATACGAAGGAGAAGAGTCTGACTGGCGATGTCGTGTGTGTCGTGCGCTCCCGTCACCAGCTGCCCCCGCGATGGGGCCGCACCTGCCCGGGGAGGGGCGGGGAAAGGCTGCGGCCGCTCCCGTTACCCGGCGGGGGCCGGTCCTGGGGCCGGAGGGAGCGTACCGCCCTCTCCGGGAGGGAAAGGCAGAGACCCCGCGGGGCAGCCCCTCCTCCGCGGTCGCCACCGCTAACAGGGGTGGAGGCGCGGGGCCGCCAGAGACACCCCGCGCTTACATAACGAGCGCCTCCGGGGCCGCTCCGCCGGTGCCCGCCGGTCTTGTCCCCGCCCGGCCAGAGGGCGGCGGACAGAGCGGAGCCCCCTCCCCCGGCGCCTCTCCCGGCCCCGCTCCCGCCGCGGGCACGGACCGGGCAGCGGCTCCGCCGCCTCAGCGGGCACGCGCAGGGCGCATGCGCCTCTCAGGCCCGCCGGCGCGCCGGGCATGCGCGGGGGCGGCGGCGGGGCAGCGTTCGGGGGCGGGCGGGCGCGGGCGCTGGCGGAGCCCGAGGGGCAACGGCCCCGAGCCCCGCGGGGGCTCCGCCGGCGGCCGAGCGGCTCCCGGGGCCGCCGGGGCGGCAGCGCCCGAGCCGCGCCGTGCCCCAGTTTGTGTCCAATCAGAGAGTGCAGCGCCTGACACCGGGCGGGCGGCAACGCGTAAACAAGCCCCGGGAACTCCTCCGCCCCCCGCGCTCCCCTCCGCGCCGCTCCCCGCGCCGCCCCGCAGCCGCCCCCGCCCGCCGACAAGTCCGGCGAGGCGCGTTCCCGCCGCTCCGCCGCCCTCCCCTCCCCCGCCCGCCCGCCCAGCCGGCGCCGCCCGCGCTGCCACACGCACCCACTCCCGCACACGCCCGCGGTGCCCGCGGCCTCTGCAGGGGAAGGTAAGGGGCGGGCGGCGGCGAGGAGCGGGTGCGTGCGGGGGGATCATGTGTCATAACAAGTTGTTGAACGTGACATTGCTCTCGAACCGCGGCGGCGGCGGGCGCGGGGCCGCCGCCGAGTAACTTTGTCCCGCGGCTCGGCGCCGAGCAGAAGCCGGCCGGGCAGGGCTGAGCCGGCGGGGCCGGGACCGCGCTCGGGAGGGGCCGGTGCCGATCGCGGTGCTCGGGCTGCCCGGGGGGAACGGTGGAGTGACGGGCGAGGGCTCCGCGTCTGGCGGCTGCTGCGGGAGCCGCTGCCGCCCCGGCGAGGATTTTTCTAGCAAGGCGGCTGGGCGGGCAGTGAGCGAGGAGCGGGTGCCGGTCCGGAGCATCTCCTCCCGCGGGTGATTATCCCCGCGGATGCTCCGTGGCGGTTTTGGCTCGCTTCAGGCGCGATTAGCTCGGCTTATTATGTAAGATGTCACCAAAGGAGGAGAGGCACAAGCCCTCGGTGTGGCGGAGCGGCGGACGCGCCGGTCCCGCCGCGCCTTCCCCGCTCCAGGTACCGGAGCAGAGGGAGCAGCCCCGGCCCGGAGCGGGCGGGCGGGAGAGATGGGGAGCTCCCCTCCTTTCGCAGCCCGCCGCTGGAATACGGCTGCTCGTTTTACACGTGGGTTGGGTGTGTTCCCCATTTGAGTAGGAACGTAACCTGCTCTGATTCCTCTCCCTTGTTTGATTGCTTCTTTTCTCTTCCAAAATGAAAAATAAACATTTGAGCATAAAAAAAGTTTAAGAACTTGATTTTTTGCTTTCTTTATGTACGTGTTTAGTTTGTTACCATGATATGGAGACGATTGAATGAATCATCAGTTCCATGGAATAAAAGCAAGTGAATCATCTCGCATACACACGCACAAAACTGAGAGGGAGCGTAGTTGTTACCGTAGACAGTGAAAGGTTAGTGTCAGTTTCTGATGTGCAATGGGATGGCAGGAGTATAGACAGTGCTCAGAAACCCGGGAGGTTTCCTGGGGCTGGTTTGTGAACTGTGAAAGTTTTACAACATTCAATTGCAGTTTTTCTGGCTCAGTAGTTGGATGGTAACTGCTTTCGGTTATCAACTTGCTACCAATTATTTTAACCAAATTCTCAGAAGGGGGATGTAAATGGTAAGAATTTAGTAGCTGTGTTATTCGAAGTGTATTAATTTAAAGTAAAATTTAAATGAAAATTAAAAAAAAAAATAGTATCACACTATGTTCATACCCTGAAGCCAGAGACAGATCCCAGATGCTTTTAATCTTTGTTTTGTTTTGCTTAGTTTTATTAAGCACAAAAAGTCCTGGTTAAAGTAAAAATATATAAATATGTATTTTTAAAATCTAAAGGCAGTTTATTTAATAAACACACTGGAGTTGTACCTAGCTAGACTTCTGTTCCTCATTCTCTTGCCTGTTGCTCTTTTAGATGGGATTGAGGCAGGATCCTATATATAGTTGCTCTTTCAACTCCAACTTGCTTCCAAAGGGGAATTTCCATCCTCCACATTTTTCTTGACACATCTACCTCTCCCTAGAGGTATAGAGGGCATAATATGAATTTTACAAGATTAAGTCCTCTTTTTTTCCCAGCATACATGCCACTGGCGAGAAATGAAGTCACTCATTATAGTGGGGAGGTAGTGATTTATGCATACAACCGCTTGGTTTTACAGTATAGAAGTACATGAAGATCTTTGTATGTCTTGCTGGTAAACCGTTCTGTTTCCTGTGGCATCAGGTATCCTTTATCTCACTGCTTATGTTTTGTACCTCTAGTCATTCTCCAAACGAGAATGGAAGACTAAATCAATCCCAGAAAGGGTCAGTCTGGGTATTTGTCACTGTTGGGGAGAAAGGATGTTAACATTTTTGATATCTAGGTCTGTACACCAGCACTTCATAGTTTAACTAAGATTGGAGAAGCTGAGTTTGGGAAAACTCTATTACTTCAGGGTTCACTGTGTTGTTTCAACACCTCACTATCAGAAGATTCTGAAGTTATCCAAGCTAAGACTACACCGGAAAGTGAACATGTTGAAATAGGGATTCTCTTAGGTATGTTGGGTGGTCAAGTTAACAAACAGGAAAAAATACTGGTTTATTTGTGCATTTAATTCAACGGCCAAATAGCATTCATCCTTTTTTATTGAATTTTTGTACAAAGAAGGTAAAACATACAGGGTATGTGGTGTTCTATGTCCCAAACCTCAGCTGAAAGTAGTAAAGGAAATAATACTGAAAGTGGACTCGCCACTCTGCTCCAGCTGTTTTTTCCTGCTCTATGTACACTCTGGGATTCAAAGAAGAAGTGAAAAATTCTAGGTTTGACTTTTAAGTCTACAGAATGTGCAAAACAAAGTGAGATAAAGTGTATTGACATAGACTAAGGCTAAGATAATAGTTGGTCCTGTGCAGTTCCATTTTTAGGATTGGTAACTCTAGGATGCACAGCAGAACTTAGTGAACTGTGGAGGGGAATGCTGATAAAAGTGAATCGTCTGAACTTTGTGTCTTGATTTTTACTATGTTGGGGATACATAGGCTTTGTTCTTATTGTGATCAATTTAATTTACACTGCCTTTTTAAAGAAAATTAAGTTATAATCTTTCTGTGCTTTGAAAGACTGGTGCCAACAGTATCTTCATACGCTCTTCCAGCTGTCTCAACTAGAAATGAATGGTTAACATCGCAGTAGGAAAAGAAAACAGCCTTCTTTCCTTTTTGCAGTTTGGTTTCATGACCCTTTCTAGACAAATGCAGCAGTCCCAAGCAAGGTTTTGAACTACTCCATAGAGAGACATACTGCTGGTGTTGAACAAGGGAATCCTTTTTTCAACTGTTGAAAACTTTACACCAAGTGCAAAGTGGCTTGGGGTTGTTTGTTCCCCAAATCCTCAGTTAATAACATCTATTGTGGTTGTCTGGGAAGAAGTTTAATTTCTATTACCAGTCTCGATTGTTTAAAATACTAAGAAATAGTTGGGAAAAGTTGATATTATATCACTCAGAGTTGTAGCTAATCTGTTTTTGAATGATGCTAGGTAGAGCCTTAGACATTTCTTACAGTGAAGCTTATTTTCCTGACTATTATGTTTTTATCTTCAATTTTTTCCAGTAGATGTGGTGTCATGAAAAGTAACAGCTTGACAGACTTTGAGACTGAAGCCCATAATGAGCAGAGCAGGTGTAGCACTGGCAGCAGCTCCACTGGGCTGTAACGGGACTGTGTATGTGTAGCTGTGCGCCCGTGGGAAATATCAGTGTTACTGTCTCTATCTTGATTATTGCTTATAAAATAAAAACCGTTCTCTGCTAAGTGTGCGATGCTTCTGGAATGAAAGATACATAGTATTACTTGAGCACTGTGGTCTCAATAGCTATCACTAGTAGTTCTTGCATGTGAAACAAATAATTTTGACTGGTTACCTAAAGCTGAAACCATTTATCCAATTATTAATAATTAAATTCATGCACATCTCAGCAGCTTTCTTAACAGCAAACCAAACTGTTCATTTGCTATTGTGCTTTGTTCATCTCTTTCCTGTTAGGGAATAATTTTCTGCCTTTGTTTGCCATCAGTTTATATACGTTTTGAGACTTGCCTGGAATTAAATAAGTTGCCTGCTAGTTTGCCTTAATAATCCTACCCTCATAAAAGACCTGAGTAGGAAAAGACAAGAAGACTTTCTTAGAAGAGTTTTAAAATCAGAGTAAGTTATTGGGAGGATCTTCACTTCCTTGAGATACTGTCGAGTTCCTGACTGCTGCATCATAGAGAGCTTCAAGTTGTTGTAGTCTGTAATGGTTCAGGAACTGCCTTCCCAGTCATCTGCAGTGGCAGCTGAGTTTGCACTGTTTTAAAGAGTGCAGCCCATGAACAAGGAGCAATGACTGCTGAAGAACCAGGTGTCTGCACTGCAGACAGGGTGCCTTTGGCAGCCATTGTGCACAGCTTCAGTATCGGTTCTTCCACAAGCAGGAAGACCACTTTGTAGTCATACCATTTCTACTCCAAGGAAGTTCTTATCAAAAAGAACCCTTCCCACACACCCCAAATCACCAGTGGAGATGTACCAAGGAGCAGTGGTCAGACCTGAATGGTGAAGCTGTTATTTTTTTTCTTTTTGATTCTTGGGTATTATTCTCAGTCCATGCGTGTTATTTAAGGCAGTATTGTAGAATTATTTTCTGGCAGCTGAATCAGTAAGTCCAATCTGATACCAGCAGGGGAGGCCCTAGTTTGTAATTGACATAAAATTGCTTGCATCCAGTTTGTTATTCCCATCTTCCAAACTCCACCCTACATGCCTGTTTCGCTCACCTGTTGTTACAGCTTAGTTTTTGTAATATGATCTCTTGGGGAAACAGTTATCAATTCTGTATTTGTAAAATCACAGCACTTCAGTATTCTGGCTGATTTAAATTCCGGTCTCTATGGAAATAAGTAATAAGTAATAGCTTTCATTTTAGATCTTTTTGCCTGAAATCTTCACTGTGTTTCTATCCCAGTGCAAGGAAAAAACCAAAACAGTTCTTCTGAAGTTTTAATAGAACGTTTGTTCAAAGACCAACACTAAAAGTAACTTATTACTCCAAATAAACAACAGTAAAAATGAAAGAGAATAGCAAATCTAAATTCATATTTTTGTGACTCATGTGAAGCTCCAATGATAGAGACTATGAAAAATAAGAGATCAGTTTTGTTTTAATATAGGCAATTTATCTTCACCTTGTAATTGTAGAGGTGATTGCACATTGGCACTGGACCACAGTATAGGAAATACATTGATTTTCCATGTAGTGTTACATAATACATTCACGGTAATTTCTCTTTGCAGTGGTCTTTAATACTATTAAGGTTCATGGACTACTTTTTCAGGTGTAGTATACTTGTTCTGTAGCAGTTTCAGTCAGTACTAATGAATTCCATTTTACCAAACAAAGCAAGAAAGTACCAAACTTAGTTTGTAATAGCTCTGAACTGCTAGTTGTATGATCATATTATGATTTTATGACTTTTTATGAGACAGTAACTTACATTTTTCAGTGGCTGCAGCTGACAAACTAATTTGCAGAAGTAGAATAGCCCAGATTTCTCATTAGAACTATAAAGTAAAACATGTTAATATGCATTAACATTTATATTTTTAAAAACCATATAATAAAGTATTCTAATATGTATTCATGCACATAGTGTGGATGTATGAGAATGCTCTTGGATTGATTCTTATGTTGTCATCTGCCTGTAGATATTTTTGTTTTCAGTAATTTTAAAATGGGGGCAATATATGTAAATAAGATTTTTTTTTTAAAAAATAACCACAAATAATAGAAGACAAGAACATTGGGTATAACAGGTGTATTCTGCCACAATTTTTTAGTGGGTTTTACTGAGTACCCTGAACCATTAAAAAGTTCCTGTTAGGGAACAGTCTCAATTTCCAGACTTGGCATTCTCCTATTCACTGCACTTTTCATAGTCTGTGAATTTGTGATGCAGATTGAAATTACTAGTATGGCCCTAATTGCAATTTTAGCTTTGTCAGTCCAGGGATAGTGCTGCTGGCCTTGATCAACAGCAAGGCTTGATTCATAAAATCATTTCTCCAAGACTTAACACTGAGCCTCCCTGGTAGTTGCTGACGCAAGAATACAAGATAAAACTGATGACATGATGTGTAACAAGATAACTAACTTCCTGAACCTGAAATTACATAGAAGACAGAAAGTTCCTTTTAATAGCAGAAGATTTTGCTTTGTGCTTCCTGGTTCTGGTTGTTTCTTTTAACGATGCTGGTAGAATATTATTGCTTTGCTAATTCCATTTGGATTGGAAAGTCTGTTTATTAGATTATTCCAACATGTGGTCCAAGTCTCCAGAAGAGAAATTACCACTTTTCTCCTAGATGCAGAATGTACTAGGTTTATCTGTTTACTTAACTTTCTTAGATATAATTTTTCAGATGACTTTTTGCATTGTGTTACGCCTTAAATTTACATCTTTGTGTACAAAGCACAGTAAAGTGAGGGAATCCAAAATTTAAATATTCTGAAGATAAATTTCAGTGCTAGTTACTACTGATCAGATCTGACAGAGAAATTCTCTCTGCCACAAAAAAAGTAGTTGATCTTGAGATAAAAGTCTTAAGTGATTCTTAGAGAAGTGTTACCACTGATTAAAGCAAATGTAATTACATTTATTTCCTTCCTCAAGAAGAATGGAATATGTAAGAAACCAGGCTCTTGATTAATTTCATAATGAAAACACAGTTCTTTTTTGAGATGAAAGATCATTTCTTAAATAGCCAATGTGTGGATTGAATGAAGTTAAAGATGTTTCTTTCTTTCGTGGTTTTATGAAATTGTTGTTTACTTTTTTGAAGAATCATCAGTACTAGCTCCAGAGACAAAAGATCCTTTATACGATATAAATGATATTTTGAGTAAGTATTCTTGGTTGATTTTGGCTGTAGAATTTCCCTGCATACAAAGTGATTTTGAAGAGCTGCTTAATCAAACCAGTATTTTTCAGCTTTCCATCTTAACTCTTTTGATATATCATAGATAAAGTAAATTTTTATACTTTCATCCCAAATACATATTTACAAAAGTACGGGTGTTTGGAGTTTTTTGTGTAGATATTGATCACAGAATGCCAATGGATTTATTTGTAATAAAGTACTAAGTGACAGCTGGTGCCTCACACAGGCTAGTGTTTAAAATCTACTACAGATGTGTAACTCTTATGTATTAATTGCTAAAAACTTAAAACATAAATTTACGTGGGATTGGCCTACAATTCAAAATTGCCATTAATTGCAGAGGAGCCTTTCCAGTTAATTTATTGTGAAGCTGGATGAAACCAGTGACAGATTTGTAACAGAGGAGCTTTTCTATAACATCTGGCTCCTCAAGGTATGATAGCTCTTGTTGCATCAACTGATACAATAGGGAAAACCACACAAACTATTGGGCATATGAGCCCTTCCTCAGGTTTTGAAAATCACAGCAAACTGTGAACTAGGGGTGCAGTTTCAGCAGACATCTACAGCCACTGCTATTGAATGAGGGAAGTGCTACTTCTGTGTCTTATGCTGTGTGAGCCCTGGCAGTCATTAAACCCCCAAATAACTAAAGTTTAATTAAACCAGCAAGAAACTACTAAAAATAAGTTTTCTGCTGGTCTAGTGTATTAAATGGACTTAGAGAAGCTCCAGAGCTTCCCTTCTTTTTTAGTTCAACTGGTCCATTAGATCAGCTCTGCTGTTCAGCTACTGGTAAGATTTAGGACAAATTTGGAATAGTTGCTGTGAGTTTAATTTAATTGTGGCAATTAAATAGCTAATTGAGGAAAAGTGTGGTTGTCACCCGTAAAACAAAGGAGTTATTAGTATTGGCAGGAATTGTGAGATAGTGCTTCATCATGGGCAGATGGAAAACAGATCATTACCACCAGAACATTGAAGGCTTTAGCTGGAGTGTCACCATGCCGTAGAGACAGTATATCCCATTGTCTATTATTTTTGATATCTAGAAGATCTGTGAGTACTCATTTCTACATTTGACTTGGTGATCGGGGGTATGAAGTGAGGGATTCATTCTGGCACTACATTTCACAAGCACCTCTGATATATAAACATTTGCTGAGATCTGCCAAACATTGGACTTTTGGATTTACAGTTTCAATCATTTGGTGTGTGTGGGGGGGTAATATGTGATCACACTGACAGGCGATGTGCTGACTGAAATTTCCTGTATTTCTTACAAGTGACGACAGCTACTTGCCACGTAATTTTTACTGTGTGTTTTCAAAGGCGGTGTCTTGGGTCCCATGAATCCACAATAGTATTCATAAAAATACATATAATTTAGAACTTTAGCTTCTTCTGATGAGAACTACTGTAACTTAAGCTTCAATTTGTCCATTTGACTTCATGCCAGTGTTGAACACGACTGTAAATATAGGAAAGCCTAACCAAAAGTACTTCTTGTACTTACTATGGTTAAGTTACCATAGACAGTTCTAATATAGCTAAAGATACGGAGCTAAAGATGTTAAGGCTGTATTCCTTTTCTAGCGTAAAGGCAGAAGAGCAGGTCTTTGCAGCATGCCAGTTTGAAGTACCTTAGGAGGTCCCTCCAGGAGTGAACTGCATTGCAATTACCTGCACCAGACATTATTGGGCTTTATGACTAGGAGTGTTCTTCAAAGTTGTTTTTCTGTGAGCAAGTAGGTGTTAAATATTTTCGGGGGGGGGGGGGGGGGGGCTGGAGTTGCTGTCTATGTAAACATATGTTTGCAGTCTTTTGTTTTTTAGGTTTTATGCTTGTGCTTTTCTCTACAACACTTCAGAGTTAGCAAGGTTTCATATTCAGGGGTTTATTTTTTCACTATCTTTTTTTTTTTTTCTGCATGTTCTTTCTTATCTCACAAACACAAGGAACTGATCGAAACTCCAGGTAGAAGATAAATTTTGGAATAAGAAGACACTTGTGTACACTGAAAAGAAATCACAGAAGGATTGTTGAGAAGAATCTAGAGTACAAGTTCTGGTATGAAATTCTAAATATTTTCCTTGGAATTCAGGTCACTTGTCTGCCCTGGAAGACAAGCCTCACTTAGCATAGAGTATAGCATGTAAAATAGTTCCACTGTGTCTGTGCTGACCAGGCAATGATTACTTCTGACTAGAAAAACTAAGTTTAAATGGGTTCAAACTAGTATAGCTCTTAGTCTGTTGTATGTGGTATCCTCTAAAATATACTTCATGCTTTAACCAAATGTGTCTCTTATATGTAAGAAAACTTTTTATTGTATGAAACCTGGCCATAAAGTCAGGTCAGCTCTCTAATGCCTGATTTTTTGCCACTGTTAAAAATGTTTTGAGTATGATTTTTTTTCTTTCCTAAGATATAGGGAGGAAAACGATTTGTAAATACTATTGAGATGCATTCTTCAACCTCCACAATATAAAATTAAAAGGCAATTAATTTTCTAAACACTGAAAAGGTTGAAATATTACACAGGTTTAAATAACATTGTATCAATATTCACCTGGAGAATACCTTGGTCTATTTCTGACTTTGTATTTCCACTGAAAGCATTAGCAAACATTCCTGCTAATTTAAGGGCCCACAATTTGAATCTTGTGCAGAAATTCTAAACTTAATCCTGCGAATTTGCACAAAGCCAGAAAAAGGGTCTTTTGTTGAAAATCAGGTGGTTAAATTAGAAAATATTAAATGCTCTTTTTTCACTCTTGTGGCACTAAAATTGTGGTTTGTTTTGTTTTCTTTTTACTATTAAGTATTTCCAGAATTATGTGATGTAGCAACTCGTCAGACCAAAACCAGGTATACTTGCATTACAAGTTGACTAACTGGAATCAGTCACCTAATCCTAGAGAAATAGCTTGATTATTTTTAATCTTATGTAGATGGACTTACTGGTAGAATTTCAAAAGCTTTCTCTTTGTAAGGGCAAGGCAGAAGATGGGAAGGTCTCCATGTATGTTTTCTAGGCCCTCATCCTACGTGCTGTCATATAAAAACACCTGAAATTCAAGCTATGATCTCACTGTTAGCGAAGTGCCAACTTCAGTTCACGTGAAGTGCTACTGCTAGAAGTTTGTTAGTTCTGTGTTCAGGGCGACCAGAAGAAAGGAAAGAGATCGGAGAGAGGAGAAACTCGTTACAAAATTAGTTTAGCAAGATGACACAAAACCTAGAATAAGGACCAGTGCATCAGTAGAAATTAAATGGAGATATAATGTGGCAATTTTCTTAAAGTAATGTAGTTGTGATTTCCCTACAATAGACACTTGATTCGAATGTTAGACTAGAGTCAGCTTAGTTGTGAATCAAAAAAGCATCACAAAGGAGATGGAAGCCAAATAATGCATATGGGGGGGCTAGGCATTCATATCCTACCAACTACCTCACTTAAAACTGCAGAAATAAGTCTGCAGTGTTTAGTTGTTTCTCAGGGAAACAGCAGAAAAAAAGCACAGAAAAAATGGGAGCGATTCTAAAATTGATATATTCCATATAAATGTAATTAAGCTCCCTGGTATTAGACGAGTTCAAATAGAAATCTCATGCTCTTCCATGGGCATATTCTAGATCTAAGATCTGAGACAATAAAATAGAAGAATAGGATAAATAGCAAAAGAGAAACCACTATGTAGAAACTATTTGTAGGTTCTATTTACAGAGTGCCTTATTCTTCCATCACAAAGCACAGACTTCTAAAGGAGTTTTGAAGGGTCATGGTATAATCAGTTGCCAGTGTCAAGAGGAGACAAAAGAGTGAAGGTAGTCTTAGATGAATGGGCAAGGGGAATATCAAGCAGTTGCTGAATTACATTTATTCAGGGACTGTTAATGCTGTGATCACCACTCATACTGAACTTGGTTCTGGCAATTGCACTTCAAGGAGGATGCAGAAAACTTGAAAAGGGTTCATAGAAGACTTAAAAGAATGATATAGTGCTTGGGACACATGCTTTATCGTGAAAGATTGGGGGCACAGCTTAGTAAAAGTAAAGCTAAGGTGGCACTTCCAGACAATAGTCAAGTCATCTCTAAATATTTTCTTTGGTCAACTACATGGAAACATTTGAGATAAAGTGAGTGATATTCAAAACCAGAGCATTCAGTCTAGCTGATTAAAAGAAAATCAAATTACTGTAGCTTAGCAAATGAGGTAATAACAAACAGACTAATTCAGATTAGTATTAAGGATTTATATTTTTTTTAATAGTTGGAACTACTAATGACAGTTGTAGATTACCCAGCACCAGAAAATTTAGAAGGATGATTTAGTCAAAATAGTCTGTTGAACTTCATGATAAAATTAATATATGTATATATAAATTGTAAACGATTTTTTAATCTTCCCTTGTGGTGGGTAGTATTAAGAAAGTATGTGGAAAATAAAGCAATCATTATCCCCGTAGCTCTGTAGAAGATAGCCTTTGGATGTAAGGGAGAGCTGTGTACTGTATTTGCATAACATACTGGTCTCAAAGTAGGTTAGACATCTGCGTGGCCATTTAGTTTTCTGTAAAAATACTGTTCCCTATTTGTTCTGTATTAAACCTTTCTCCATTTATATTTTTATGTTATTTAAAAACAAATATAGAAAAGATGTGTTGTTTTAACCATTAATAAAAACAAACTAGCTAGGGTGCAGAATGGTCCAAGATCAGCGTTCCAGAAGAGTTCTTTCAGAAAGAAGAAAGTTAGACTTGAGTGAATGTCTCATATTTATTTTTCAAATAATAAGATTAGAGAAAATAAATACTGTGTGGAAGTGTATGCTCAACTTCCCCAAAGTAACACAAGGGTGTATGTTGTTTAAATAGAACCAACAGATGCTTAGGAATCTTAAGAAGCCAGGATTCCTATCTTTCAGGCTTCTCTTCATTGTGGCAGATTTTTTTCATGCCACTGATAGAAAATAAATATTTTGTTATGATCGATAAACATCCTTGTTAATAACCACATTCTTGAAGCCATTTTTGTACTATATTTCAGTGGTATGCAAGACAGAGCTTTGCTTTAGATGTACAGTCATCTTTAAGCCCCTTTAGGAGATTCTCAGTTTGCTCTAAGAAGTAGATTATACTAGTTCTGCAGTTCTTCAGTATTCATAGTATTTTTTATATGTGACAGTGAGGCAGTGTTTATTTTAAGAGTCCAAAGCCACAGGTTCAAATCCCCTTAAAGTCAATAGGGAAAATTGCTTGCAGTGACTTTTGACTTATATAGCCTGAATGTTTTGATTTCTATTTTACCCATAAAATTTATGTATGAAAATCTACTGCTAAGTGAGTTTTCTATTTTTGAGGTAATATGGCATTTTAGTACTCAGTGAGAGGACATTAGGAATACTGAGTAATGCAAATGGTGCCTTACTATGAATGCAGTAAAAGTAACAAGTATCAGTGAAATGACACCCAAAAATACTATCTAGTATATTTGTATCTAGTGTATTCCAAGTCTAAAAAATATTCAATAACTTGATATAAGTAACTGTCTGTTAGGAGATCGTGTCATTAATCTGCATGGCTCCTTACAATGTATTTGTTGCCATATAAATGAAACATCTTCCAGCAGTGCAGTAAACAGTGTGCATAATATCTGTCACTTGCTTTTCATATGCATACTCTCCCCAAGGAAAGAAGCATGAACAGTACACAGACATGTTTTGGTAGAATTTTTGGGTTTATTTTGGGGCAAGTGTGTTGAAAGCATTTATGCTGACAACATGTAATCAATATATAGCGTTACACAAAATTATTCTGTTTATGCTGATTGACCTATAGGCAAACTAGAGACTGAGTTGGATATTGCCTGGGTAAGTATCTGACACCCAGCCCACTCCCACACTCTTTCCATCGCTCAGAGGTGTTGGTCATGTCATACAATGCACATCTGCATCTGGCCATGGAGAAATAGGACAGCATACACCTGGTTGTAAAGCAAATACAGGCTTAGTCATGTCACAAGTGTGCATAAACCCTCAATACCTACTCATACATTTCTGAACAACACAACAGAAAGGTGGGAAATTACTAATTTTGTTGGTTATGTAAGCTGCTCGCTCACTCACCCCCAATCCCCTATGGAATGAGGGAAGAGTAAAAGTAAGAAAACTTGGGGGTTGAGATAAAAAAAAGTTCAAAAGTTTATAAAGTGAAGGCTAAATGAAAGATGAGAGAAAGAAAAAGAAACAAAACAAGTGAGGCAAAGGCAATCACTTTCCACCTCCCATAGACAGATTGATGACCAGCCAGTTGCCAAGCAAAAGGTAGCTAACTACCCCAAACCCCCTTTTCTCCCTTGTGGCTGACCATGGTGTTCTGTGTCATGGAGTCTCTCTTTGATTAGTTCAGATCATCGGTCTGGTTGTGTCCTCTCCCAACCTATTGCACACTCCCCAGTCTTCATTGTGGTGGGTAGTGAGAAAGAGAGAAGGCCTTGATGCTGTGCAAACACTGCTCAGCAATATCTAGAACATCAGTGTGCTGTCAGCATTGTTTGGGTAAGATACCTACAAGACAGCACATTGTGAGCTGCTGTGAAGGGAGTTAACTCTCTCCTAGCCAGGCCCAGTACAGTTAATTAGCAGAATGACCTAGGAAGCATTTGAGACTTAAGCTATAAAAAGCTCGAGAGAGCATCTGGATAACAAAATGTTTTTCAGGAACAAAGAATACAGTATTTATTTTGTAGGTAACCTTGGTGCTTTTGAACACATTTCATAGGTCTCATGGCAGAGGAGATGATAAGTATTTCTAAGACTGGGAAGGAAATTCACACATAAATGATATTCAGGGTACATATTTGTGTGTCCCAGTGAAGTTGCTCAAGACTTTAAAGAATTGAAAAATAAGAATTTATGTTTTTCTTGGACAGAAATTTGTACTTAGGTCTATTTGATTGCTTTTACTGCAGAAAACAGACTACTTATACAGTTCTGTGCATTGCATAATGCTCAACTTTCTCAAACTAGAGTATCAGTTTTCTTCTGCAGGAGCTTTTTGGAT